GCATTACTGTTAATATGGATGCAATAATAAAAACTGGATTTGTGAAAGTAAATCACCAAATAACTTTTCAATCAAGCACTGAGTCAAAGGGAAAAGCTTTAGTAGTGGCAAATTATGTGAAGGATATTGAATAATTAAGAAAAAATGGACAAAGCTATGTAATACATAGCTAAACTTAAAGTTACATTAGCATTAAACTTGATTTTTGGGTTAAAGTGAACTCTAAGTGAGTGTTATGAGACTAAAATTTTCACTTAAAGGTGAACTTTTTTTTTATTATTTATTTCAAACTGACTTTATAATCGGGCGTAAGAATAATGCATAATTTAGGTTATGTTACTTACTTATACTTTTTTATGATATAAATCCACTTTTCTCTTTGTAGTAATTTGTGCTTCGAAGTTGGAAACAAATCAAACTTAAATTGACAATTTTTTGTTGTATTTTTACACTTTATAACACAGCATTTACTAAGTCCCATTTCCTTCAGTGACAGAAGGTGTAAATAAACAAACGAATATGAAATAGCACAATTTGACAATCGACAATATGAATTTATGAAATCTATGAAATGTGCAGTAAAAAATGCAAGATTTCTCCGCTACTCGCGCACGATCGTTTCTCGTATCACATCCAAGTACTTGCACGTCGCAAATACTATCTTTCTTACCTTCGGGTAGACACCTGATAAATTTTATCAGATATGAGCCTATTTCCTGGGAACCTCTTGCTACAAGTGTTTCATTCCATAAAAACATATGACTTTGTCCAGTAAGTAAGTTGTATATACAAAAATTTTACGTCCATAAGCGACGAAGGTAAAATACTTTGGACGTAGTCACTAGTGGTGTTGGCAATGGCTGTTGTAAATCAAAACAAATAACGACAGTATTCTCAATACTGTTGTATTTTTCAATATCTAATTTTTTAGAATTGTTTGCTTTCTTAGCTTTTCTATGATGTAATTCTAAATCCCGTTTAGCGTTTAAAATGGTTTTCTCATTTTCAGAATATTTTATCAAGTTTTGAAAATTGTCACAGCGACTACATGTATTACTATAGGCTTGTGAAATTTCAAATTAAACTCTGTGTTGAAGATAAATCGATAATATGATTATTTCACAGGTTCTTCATGTTGTTCATTACAAAATTCCTTATATAGCTTATACATCTGACTAATATTGAAATCGCTAGGAAGGTATTTATTATTGAGATTGTCTATTTCTGCGAATATTTAAACCGAATGGGACCAGATAGATTAGCGAACATCTGCAAAAACAACAAACCGTATAGCAGAAGACCCGTTAAAAGGCCGCCAAAAAGGTGGAAAGATAATGTACAGTCAACAACGACTGAAACAGAATAAGAAGTAAACAAATAGGAGTAATCCTGTAATTTCTTGAATAATGGCACTGATTCTATGGAAACATCTTAATGGGAATTCACCATATTTTTGGATGATTGTTTAATTTTGTTTGGGGGTTCCTTCTTTCCTCATTTATCAGGTTCACTCATTCCGAAGTCTGATATTTTTTTGGAACAGACAACCTGAAATCTGCGCACAGAAATGTCAAAAGTATGTAAGGAAAATATTTTGCAGACACGTTTTCCGATCAAAGTTATTATTGTGCAGTAGTTTTTCTTTTAAGAAGCTTCTTCGTTGAGTCGTGCTGGGCCAACGTTGTTATACAGACGGAGAGAAACGCTGTTTGCAGATTGTATGAAGGTAATCTACAAAATGTTTGGAATAGTTTGCGTCTTTCCGTTTCATTAATGTTCTCGTTGCAATGTTGCAATTGAATCGACATACATTATTATAGACTTTCAGTTCTCTAACTTTCTGTGGTTTATTTTTTCGTCCGACATAGGCTTTCCTTTCAGTTCGCAAAACCTGTTTTAGGGTCTTGCTTACGATTTCTTGCTGCTTGAGGAGTAATATGTAAATCGTCATTGTCTTCAGAGAAACGCTCGTTAACCCCTGTGTCATCCGCTTGTTCTTCTTTATCCTGTATATAATCTGAATCCTCGTCGTTTTGGATAGGATCGGATTTTTCTGCAACAAATGCCAAATATTTAACTTAATAGAAAACCGTAGTGCTGGTGCGTGTCAGTGGCAGATCTAGACTTTAGGATGTGAGATTTGCCTTAGATGGGGAAACTTTCAATGAAACACCAACCGAACGACATAAAAAAGTTTGTGGTTTAAGTTCCACGTCAGCTAATATATTTTTTGTTTTAACATTTATTTCTTTAATTTTGGACCTTGTTAGGGGCGAAAATTTCCCAATTTTCCCTCCCCGTAGATCCGCCACGGGTGCGTGGACATTTTTATTATTTACATTTTTGTTTTCAACTTACAACAAAATATACCTACATTACATTCTAAAACTAAATTTTATCATGTTAAGTAATTTGATTTAATTTACTAACCATCAGTGACTCGGCTGTTATCCGAAGTATAACTACAACTTGCACGTTAAATATTACTTAATTAGTCTGTAAAATTCGACATAAATTTAATATTTATTTACTTGATAATTTTTCGACTGTTCTAACAACCATTCAAATTTCGTCATTTTGTGTCATGTGGAACAATTTTACCCAATCATGTCAACATTAGACTGATAATTGCATTCAGTGCAATTTTCAATCCCTATGACAACACGATCGAGTTTGACAACTTCATCCAAATAAATTTCAAAATGTCACTTTTCGGCAATGACAAAATATAAATAAATAAATAAATAGATCTTCTATAGTAGAGAAGCTGGAACACTGGAACCCTGAGAACAAACAGAGAAGACATAGCAGAGACATGGAGATCGTATTGCAGGGACCTATATAAAGATGATCAACGCCAAGAGCTTGTTAGCCAAATCTCTGACGAGGTGGAAGAAGAACCTGATATACTCAAAAATGAAGTAAGGCTATCAACAAGCTCAAATGTAACAAAGCACCAGGTCCAGATATAATAACAGCAGAAATGCTTAAAGCCGCAGAAGAAACCGGCGTAAAGTTACTTCATCTACTCTGTAACCAAATATGGCATTCCAAACAATGGCCTGAAGATTGGACAAAATCTACAATAGCGACCATACATAAAAAAGGCAGCTTCCATAAATGCGACAATTATAGAACTATCTCTCTTATATCCCATGCCAGCAAGATAATGCTACATATAATCAATGAGAAACTGAAAACATTCCTCCAAAGAGAAATTCCACAAGAGCAAACTGGATTTACCAAAGGTAGAGGCACTCGAGAACACCTGCTGAATATAAGACAAATAATCGAGAAATCTAGGGAATTCAACATCCCACTATACATCTGTTTTATAGATTACCGAAAAGCGTTCGACAGGGTCAAGTGGAGACACTTATGGCGAATACTAAAAGAAGTAGGTGTACCACAACATCTAATTACGCTTATAACTGAACTATATGAACACACTACTGGATCAGTTAAAGTACTTGACACACTTTCGAACGAGTTTCATCCAGAACGAGGTGTCAGACAAGGATGTATACTATCTCCACAATTATTCAACATATATGGGGAGTATATTATGTGAAGGGCACTTAAAGGATGGGAAAAGGGCATCTCAATAAATGGTCATAAACTAAACAACCTACGTTTCGCAGGTGACACAGCCCTTCTTGCAAATAGTCAAGCATAGCTGATGGAACTTATACGACTGATCGAAAACGAAAGTCAAATATTTGGTCTGCAATTAAACATATCAAAGTCAAAGATCATGATAGTGGATAGACTACACAACACTACACATAGAGGTTGTGAGCTCATACTTACATACAAACACAGGGTCATTACAATAAGAGATTAAACGTAGATGTGATCTAGAAAAAGTTGCCACAGTAAAAATGACCAAAATATGGAACGATTGTCAAATTTCAGGAGCGATAAAGATGGGGTTGATCAACTGCTTAATATTCCCAATACTGACATACGGATGTGAAACTTGAACTATAAGACAATCGGAGAGAAAAAAGATAGACGCCACTGAAATGTTATGTTGGAGACGAATGTTACGGATTCCTTGGACCGACCGTAGAACAAATAATTCAATTTTAAGAGAGCTAAAAGTTAGCCAACGACTCTCTAGTAAAGTCCATCTCCAACAATTAAAATATTTTGGGCATGTTATGAGAGCAAACACAGAAAACATGAAAAGACTCATAATACAAGTAAAGCTAGAAGGCCGAAGATCACGAGGAAGATCCCCAACAAGATGGATAGATCAAATTACAGGAATATGCCAAAGACCTATGCATGAATTGAAAGAAATGACCAGAGACAGAGATCTCTGGAGACGGACAATACACGACATCACGTAGACCAGTACACTCCCCCTGGGGGGTCAGGATTGAAGAGAGAGAGAGAGAGAGTAGAGAACAGCAACGAATCTAATGTTAACTTAAATTTTAATAATTGTACTTTCACTAACTGTGCTTTTAATAAATAAATGTTTCGTTATGTTAAGTTATGATTTTTTTTTCGAAAAATTATCCTCCGGACATTGATGAATGCCTCATAATTTCATGACAAATTTTTCAAGCTCGTTGCTTGGTAACAGCACTCAGCCTTCGGCTTCGTGCTGTTACCAAGGAACGAGCTTTAGATTGTCATGAAATTATCTTGTCTGTTATCAATGTCCTAGGGATATTTCTACTGAAAATAACCTCATGTTTTACATGTGCTTTTACAAAATACTAAAAATAGTTTGGTGGTAAAACGGTTCAAGCGCACATAAACCTGTTTACTACCAATGCAAACTGGAATTAATTGTTTTCATTAAATGAAATGTAATGGCGATAGATGGCGACTGTAGGGTTAAATATACTAAAGTCATTTTACCACCAAGTTATAATACTATTTAAGTATGCGAATCTGTACTTAGATCATATTTTAAAAAAAACGTGCACTTAAACCCTTTTACTTCTAACCCCCTCAATTATTAACGGCGCTTATTTTTTTTTTAGTTGTAGAAGAAATTAAATCAGAAGAATATGATGAAGCATACGATTTATGGAGTGATATCATAGACACTATACAACAATTTACAGAAATAGACATATATAACTATTTGACAATTAAACGTAGTCATGCAGATGAAACCGACTTAAATGAATTTTTCAGTAAAGAAGAGGTTAGAAAAGCAATTCATGTGGGCAACACTGATTTTAATCGACCGGACGAAGTTTACGATCACCTGCACAAGACTTCCCTAAATCAGAGGCATGGAAAGTCGCAGAACTTTTGAAATACTATAGAGTTTTAATCTACAGTGGACAAACAGATCTCATGATCCCTTATGCTTTGACTGTTAACTATTTACAAAAGCTTAAATTTCCGGGATCCGATGATTACGCAAAGGCAGAAAGAATTGTATGGCATGATGACGCTGATAGACAAGTGGTTGCTGGATACGCGAAAACAGCTGGAAAGTTAACGGAAATTATGGTTAGGAACGCTGGTCATTTGGTACCAGCAGATCAGCCAGAATGGGCGCTACAACTTATCAATAAATTTACAAGAAACATTACTTTTCACTAAATGTCAATTAATTAACATAAACACAAATTTCCAAAATTGTACGATTACTTAACTAACAAATAAAAACTAAATTAGATTATTTTTACATCTTTTATTGCTTACTATAGTCCATCTAGAAAGTATTCGTCATTTAATATTTTTCCTAATTTTAATAGATTTTATTTTTGTAATATTATAAGACAAAAGTAATACATCAAGTAGGATGTGCCGATAGTGGGTTATGAACAAAATCGCATGACAACACCATCTGTCAAATATTGTTGTTTGTAACAGACTTAAGATTTGTGAAATAATGTCGCAAGTAGAAAAAAGAAAAGTGGTGGAATATTTCTATATAAAGGGTGTCCGAAACGGGTCTAGGACAATTCGCTGTCGCCAATTCGCCGTCGCCGATTCACCGTCGTCCATTCACCGTAGGGACAATTCACCGTTAGCCGATTCGCCGTCGCCGATTCGCCGTCAGAATTTTAATTTTTAGAATGTTTATTATTAACACTTGGTTATAAATAGAAGATTTATAACCAAGATTTATAACCAAGGCAATAAATTATTTTATAGTAAGTACCATTTAATGAACTCCGCCTGGGTTGTCTGATGGGTGGATTGAGTAGCTCATCGGATGACACTGCCGGTCCCAAGCCCGATAAAGGAGGAGGGTCCCCATGGCAAGGCTAGCCACCTACCTGGGGTAAAGAAACCCATATTGGCTCACAGAACTGAAGATTCAGCCTCGGATACCGGACGGAAATATCAGATGACGACACACGCTATGACAATGGAAAAACGAATTGGTAAACGAAAACCTAAAGACCCCATCACACGAATCGCGTGCTGGAACATTACGTCGTGGAACGGAAGAGACCAGGAGATCATAATAGAAATGAAGAAACACAATATTGACATCTGCGGAATCTCCGAAACAAAGAAAAAAGGCCAATGAACATCAAAATACGAAGAATTTATACTCATATACAGCGGGAAAGCTAAACAAGAAAGAGCTCATTCAGGAGTTGGAATTTTGCTGCACGATAAATACACGCAAAACATCGAAGATATCGAATACATCAACGATAGATTACTAAAAATCTCTATAAAAATGCGTAACATCACAACACACCTGATAAGCACGTATGCCCCAGACATATCTAAGCCCACAGCAGAAACTGAAAACTTCTATCAGCAACTACAAAACGTCGTAGATAACATAAATACGAAAGACAAAATTATCGTACTCGGGGATCTTAATGCACGGATCGGAAACGTTGTCATACCAGGTATAAAACAAAAGTACAACGAAGAAATAATTAATGAAAACGGCGAAGCACTAATAGACTTTTGCGCTAGAAATGAAATGAGAATCAACAATACATACTTTCCTCACAAAGACCAACATAAATACACTTTTAACAATAATCGAGGCCAGCGGTCAATGATAGATTTTATAATCACAAATCGAGCGATAACTCCGTCACAAGTACTTGATGTCAGAGCACTAACATCTGCTAACCTGGGGACTGATCATAACCTTGTTTTATGCAAGATGCTACTAGAACGTCCGCAACGAAACAGAAAACCCCCAATGTTCATCGAAAAACATAATATAGAGTCGCTAGCAACAGAGAGTACAAAACTGCTCTATGAGAACAGGATTACCAACAAACTAAAAGAGATCGACTTAAAACCCGAATGGGGAGTAGAAGATACTTGGCAAAAAATTAAGAAATGCATCAACGAAGCAGCAGAAGAAGCGATTGGTAAGCGGAAAATTAACACGAGAGCGACAAACCACACCAAACCGTGGTTTTGCCAAGAGGTAAAAGAACTCTCTGAATCAAAACGCAAATGCTACCTGAGATATAAAAGCACGCAATCGGAAGAAGCTCATGCAGAATATGTCCAAATAAGAAACGAAGTAAACGCCAGAATAAAATCAATCAAAAGAGAACATTGGGCCAAATTCACTTGCGACATGGACTACGACCTATATGGTGCCCAAAAGAAAGTATGGAAAATGCTCCGCAACAGAAAAAAAAAAACAGTTAACGAGTTCGTGCAGACCAAAGGAGTACCTATAGAAACATGGCAACAACATTTTAAAGAGCTATATGATGCCGAAGAAACGCTGAATATAAACGAAGGCGAAACAGATGTGAGTGCTACAATCAATGACGAAGAAGTAGAAGCAAAGATCAAAAAGCTAAAAAACAGAAAATCACCGGGAACGGATGGTATACCCAATGAACTTTTAAAATATGAAGGCCTGGAACTTGCAAGTAAACTGGCACAACTATTTAACAAAATATTAAACAAAACAGAATGGCAGAGGAATGGCATAATAGTATCACAATCCCCATATTTAAAAAAGGACAAAAAACCTGCCCACAAAACTATAGAGGAATAACTCTCTTAAATACAACAATGAAACTTTTCACGGGTATTCTCAAGGACAAATTGGAAAAGCAAATCACTAATGCTGAAGAACAACAAGGTTTTACAAAAGGGCGGTCTATAACAGACGCAGTATTTGTAATAAAACAAATAAAAGAAAAAGCTATAGAGTTCGGCATGACAGCGTATATTTGCTTCATTGATTTGACGAAGGCATTTGACAGAGTTCGCCTGGGAGACATTCTAAATATATTAATAGATAATGAAACACCGACCAGTATAACAAAGATACTCCATAACCTAAACAACAACAACGTAACCAAAGTTAGAGCAGGAGACGAATTCACTGAAAATATTCCAACACCGGGAGGAATTAGACAAGGCGACAGTTTAAGCCCCTTTTTGTTTAATCTTCTCATGGGCAAAATTATCAACAAAGTAACATCTCTTAATCTCGGATATAGAATGGGCAACAAAAGAATTGGTATGGTGTGCTACGCAGACGATGCAGCAATTATTGCCGAATCAGAAGATGATCTCCAAAGGCAGCTCTTTCAGTTCTTTCAAACAAGCCGACTATTAAATATGAACATCTCTACCAACAAAACTAAATGTATGACAATAGCAAAAGATCCGCTCAGATGTAAGTTAGTGGTTGAGGACAACCCCATAGAACAGGTGATGCAATTCAGATATCTGGGCATAGATATATCAAACACCCATGACCCAGTAAAGGACCTGAGGAGTCAGATCAACAAAGCATTTGCACTGTCAGGATGTCTGCGGGAGATAGTCTGGTCAAATCCGTATATGCGCACAGATAGTAAAATTAGAATCTATAAGACTTGCATACGACCGATCATGACATATGGCATAGAAGTGCGCGAAGATACCAACAAAACGAAACAGATGCTAAGGGTTGCCGAAATGAAAACCCTAAGAACAATAATGGGGAACACAAGAAGGGACAGAGTGAGAAATACAAACATTAGAGAGCAGTGCAAAATTCAAGATATTGTAAGATGGGGAAGACAGCGCAAGAGGATGTGGTACAACCCTATAAGACGAATGGATAAGAATAGACTCCCAAAAATTGCCCTAGAAAACAATCCGCCTGGTTCAAGACCCCCCGGAAGACCACCTAAAAGATGGAGGGATAGTTGGCAATCTACCTCCCAAGAAATTAACCAGAGGCAGCTTCAGAATTAAACAGATCGAAAGATCTACAAAAAGTAGAAGAAGAAGAAGACCATTTAATGGTGTGTTGATGTTTAAATTTTTATTAGGAATAAAATATTTAACAAGAACTAGAAAACAATTAGGGTGGTTGATCTTGTAATGTGGGTTAAAATAGTTGTTGTTTATTTAATGACCATTAATAACCAGTGAATAATGATTCAAGGATTTAATTTTTTGTTTAAATTATTGTTGGAATAAAAAATGTTTAACAGGAATTAAAAAAAAAATCAGGCAATAATTTTTTTTTAGTAAGTACCCATTTATTGGGGGTTGGTGTTTAACGAAAACTTAATTCATACAATTTTATGTTTAATTAAATATTTTTGCTAAGTAAATGAAACAAGTAATCCATTGGTTTGTTTTGTTTTATTAAAAAAATTAATTTCTCTACATTTCGTAGTTATGGGCTAAGCCTCTGAGATATTCTATTTTTCTCTAGTATAATTTTGAACTAAATGTAAAATTCTTTGGTCCGCCAGTTCTTGTAAAATATTTTATTCCTAATAAAAATAAAACATGTAGCGTTTACGCTACTTATTAACCCCTTTAGAAATTTTTATTACCCGCCTACGATCGATTTTAAATCGACATTCCCCCACCCACGCGCTGTTATCGCTTTGAAAGGAAGATCGATTTTATGCGGAAGCGGAACGATTAGTTTTGGTCAGAACTCGTTAACGCAGCCACGTCAACCGGTGAAATTGTTCACCTTTAAAGTGACGGAATTGGAGCAAGGAAGATAATTTGGGGAAGAATAAAATAGAAATATTAATATCTAATTCAAAGAATCATATCTCAGTAATAAAAATAATAATAAGTAAATTTTTTAAAATCAATATTTATAAGAGTTCCACATAAAAGGAAGATTTTTTTGGCGTGCTGCAGCTCCATGTAAGTAAATCATTTCGTACGTATTATCTCCTTATCATATAATCAAATTTATCATTGTATTTAGTATTTCTTTAGAGATTTATTTTTGAGTTCCGAAATAATTTAAATATAAAATTTCCTTGATTTACTTGCAAAGAACAGAAGGTCATTTTTTTTATATAGTTAAACTTAAATTCTGTTTTATTCCACGTCGTTATCATTAAGTTTTTTGGTTCCCATTTTGTATCTAATTTTTTTGGTGGAATATAAAAAGGTTCGACAAATATTGGACAGCCTTCTATATTCTGCGCATGTTCTTTTCATGGCGCAAGCCTGTCATGTCTACGAAGTAAATTCGGAAGTTCTGACATATTGACATAACCTAATGTTTTGATGTTTTGTTTTGGTGCAGTCAATCCATGCTGCTACACCTATTGAATTGTATTTATTAAATTAAATAATAATTTTAGATTCCGTCACTTCACTTGAGGATATTCTCTTCAGAATATTCCCTCAAGGACTAGTAACTAAATTCCTTAAACTAG